CCCGCAACGAGAAAGAAAAGGAAAGAATTCTTCTTCCTCTTGTCCTTGATTGTGAAAATGGGCACTGCGATTCTCCACCCCCAAAACTGTCTCGGCAACCGGTTCCGCCGCGAAATCATGGCGCCTGGTTTCAAACCTCGGCGACATCCTAATGCTAACCTCGAAAGCACTAACTCCAACCACGGTTTCTCTCAGTCTCGCCGTCGAAAGCGGAGTGCGTTAGGCCTCCGATCCAATCAGCCGTCTCGATCGGAACCTATGGTGGCGAAATTACCGTCTAGGAATCTGGTCATGGGCCAGGTCAAGATCCTGAAGCGCGGGGAGACTTTGGCGCCTGCAGCGAAGAAGACCGATCATCGAGGGATATATGGTGGGGGAACAACGTCCAGTAGAGGTGGCGACTTGGATCTGACTTTGGGATCCACGGATCGGTTGGGTCCAGATCCGGAAACGATGCAGAAGCAACTTAGGGTTATGGATTTGAAGGTTGGGGATGGTGTTTATGCTGGATCCGCTTTTTTCTCTTCTCCTCCACCGAGTTCGTTGCCAGTTCCCGGTTTCCTGGGGATAAACGGCAAAGGTTCCACCCAACCAGTTTCCGCCGGTAACTGAGGGTCAACCAGTTTCACCAGTTTCCTGGGGAAATTGTTTGCGTTGCGTTTAAATCTCATGGTCTTCCTTTATTTTTTCAAGAGGGAGGTTATTGAGTGCAAGAATCAAAAAACTTGTACTGCTTTGATCGATATCTGGTCGATCGAGTAGCAAACATCAGATTAAATCAGTTGTTGCTGGATCAGAGGAAAAGTTAGGTACTGGTTTCCCCACAACAGCTAGAAATCTGTATGTAGCCTATATACGTTTAGCCTCATAGCAACAGTTTGTTTGGGAGTGGGTGGTATGTTGTTTTTAGTTTTTCTATATGGACTTAATCGGTGTGTGTTCAGAGTTTGTATCCCACTATCCTCTGTATTTCAGTATTGAATGATATCTCAGTTTTAGTAAAACAAATTGCAAGTTTTTGCTTTGGTTGATCTTCAAAATGGTAAAATTCATGGCCTGGTGATGTGCAGAATTGAGAATGGTTTGGTTCTTCTTGGTGTTCCAATTTTTTGTATATTTATTCTCCCGGATTGCTGTTCAAATGAAAATATAAAGTTGTTCCTAAATTGTTAGGAGTAATATAAATCAGTGAATTTATGGCACTTCTTTTGAGCCTAAAGCTTTTGGTTGTTAAGTTTGATATCTTCTCTTATGGAGAACTTGATTTGTTTGGATTGTCTGTTTCATGGGTTTGCCACCGGAAATTGAATGGTTCCCAGCTCCCACCGTCCAGAAGTTTATCTTTGAAAGAGGTGATAGGGTGTGGCAGAAAGGTATTGTTGGTGGTTCAGCACAGATTTGAGTTGGGGGGTTCTAGGGAACGAAAGGTGGGTTAGCAACAGAAGGTAAAAAGAGCTTCTGTGGTGGTTTGGACATGTGGTTTTTACATTCCTAATAGACCCCCTTTGCCATTAATAATAGCAAAATAAGTGCAAATACACACGCATTGTTAATACAATACAGCAGTGTAGAACTACATATTACTGTGAAAAGCGTTATTACTTTGCAGCAGGTCTGTTATAAACTTGACCCACAATACTGATATACGTGCGAAAACTTGCCCATGATAGCTGAGCAACCAACAAACAGAGCAATATACAAACACGATCATCCGTGGCTGCTAACACGATCACACAAAACAGAACAGCTATTTGGGAACAAATGATCTACCTGTCTGCTTAAAGTTACATCCATCATGGGCATAGCGGAAAAGTCCTTACGTAACAAAGAACATGCTTGTTTCAAAGAGTTTGTGTTCGTCATCTTCAAACTGGAGAGAGGTCTCTGAAAAATCCTCCATGGCTTTCTCAAATTTCTCATCAATCCAAATTTTATGGGATCGACAGTTCAAACTGCAAAATGCTTTGTCACCCCTACAAGAAAATATCAGAATCAGACTTCTAACAATGAATCTTCATGCAAAAATCTCCTAGCAATTGAGCAATTGATTAAATACCTGTACATGTAAATATCTTCTTTCTCTTCTAGTTTCTTTTTGCAAGAGTAACAAGACCTCAAGAATGAACCAGAGGGATACGAAGTGCCCGATCTTTTACCCAGCAGAGAGGATTCAATCTTCTTCTTTTCATTCTCAATAGAGATGCTGAACCCATAGTCGTCGCATTTTAAAATGCAGTCACCATAAATGTGAGTTGTTTTCGGGGTGTGACCATGGGAGATGACACAGGTATATTCTTCAGAAAGCTCAACCTCACTAGCTGAGAGAGACTCATGAGGTCCATTTTTATAGATCGGATTAAGTTTTCTGGGCGAACATTTGTTTAAATTTGGGCTACCTCCACCTCCAGGAGGAGGACTTGCTTGCGAGGCAAAGTTTGTCCGAGCACCGAAGTTGCTGTTAGTAAGACCAGGTACAGCCAAAAATGACCTGCAGGAATCAAATGAACAAGAACGGAATTTCCCCAGCGGTTCTGTTTCAAATGGGGTTTCTCCAGTTTCAAAAACAACATTGGAGATGCCCTTGTTTAAGGGAGATTTGATCTGAGTACGAGGGGGAATCACATAATTTTTGGGCAAAGATCTAGCTGCCTTAAAAGAGTCAGTATGGTTTTCATAATCTGGAGTTCTACCCCTCGTCTGAGGTCCAAAGAGAATGTTCTTACCATCAGTCGATGACCGGAGAACTTCCCCGGTTGCCTTGGCATCGTTGTCGAGAGAATATACTATCTTCAAGCCCACTTTGTCACATTCCCAGTTCCTTTGATGCACATCACAAGGTGACAGAGGGCGTCTAAAAGGACTTCCAAATTTTGAGAAGACCCTACAATCTAAAAGGGATTTAGGGCTTCCAACAGAATCCGAATCCGAAAACACTTTTGAATTTAACCCAACGAAGACACCAGTGACACTGAAAAATGAGGTCTTTCTGTTTCTGTCCCCTAAATCATCAGATTGGAAAGAGGACCAAAACACAGAGCCAGAATTTGTTAGTTGACGCATTTGCTCATCTTTCTGATTGAGCCTACGCCCCTTCCTCAGCATTTTCTCACAAACCACAATATCCAAAATCACTTCGTTATCTGTACAAAAAATCAAGACTTTCAATGAAAAACAATAAAAAGTTAATCAAATCAATAGGATTAGTTAGAGTTGCATTGCACAAAAAGGATGAAAAATGCTATGAAAGAGTAGAAGGGTTGCCATATTAAGAGTTTTAGAGGAATGAAATGAAGAACTCCAAAATTCTCAAAATACCAATTTCATCTTGACTCCAGTTACATATTCAACTGAATCAGCGGGTGACAAGAAGAGAAAGAAATGCTAGAAGATTCACAAAAACGGCAAAACACCAAGATGAAAATTCACAGTTAGAGAGAGATATCATATAGATTACATTATTTAGCAGAAAAATCACAGAAGGTGATGAAAAAGGGGAAAATAAAAGGAAAATGTTTACCTGAGTGGGTCGTCTTGTCTCTCTTGTCTCCTCTAAAAATTAAACAGAATGGAAGTTTGAGATATTGCCCAAATGCAGTCAAGGCCTCAAGGGAAAGGTATGAGGTTTAAGAAAGTCTAAATAATTGTCTTTGCTTTGCTTGTGAAACTTGGGATGCACTGCACTCACTCACGTTCAGATTCAGCGAAGCGGTGGAGCTTCTAAAACAATACTCTCTTTCCCTTGCTTTTTGTCTCCCCTTCTCCTTCACAATATTTTCCCACCGACTTGTACTTCTTCTTCTTAGTCCCACCCCCCCTTTTTTTTTCCCTTTTTTTTACACAATAATATAATTATAATAAAAAAGTGGGTATTGACGTGAAAAAAATTAAGTAAAAAAATATTTTAAAATTATATTATTTTAATAAAATTTTATTAAAAAATTAAAATATTTTAATTATTTTAAAATAAAAATAAAATATTTTATTAAAATAATATAGTTTTAAAATATTTTTTATTTATTTATTTTTTAAAATTTAACTAATAAACATTAATTTCTAATTATAATATTACGTAGGGACATTTGCATAACCTTCACACATGCCGCTCGTATCAACTTTTCCGTATGGCTAGGAGACGGTACCGTTTCCCGCCAAAACCGGTATATTTCCTCATAAATCTCGCGGACGCTACAAATCCTTCCCATTTTTACGCTCCGTACTAGCGAGCTTCAGAGCAGCGAAATGGCGACTTCACCTTCTCAGGCGGATGCCGAGCTTCCTCTTCTTCTTCTTCCTCCTCCTCCTCCTCCTCCCGAAGCTGAATCGGTGCTTTCTTCTGTCGTTTACGGTTCGTTCCTTTCCAGACTTTCCTTTTTTGTTCTCCAAGTAAAATTTCACCTCTCTCGTTGCGCATACGATTTCGAATCGGAGAAGATTATAGTCATTTTTACTCAAATTTCGATCAAAATTTTGAGAATCTCGCTGAGAAATGCTAGGATCTGAACTGGAATTAGCATATAACTGCACAAAATACATTGCTGATATTATACGCACTAGTGCTCGTTATCGACATTTTCTTGCCGATTGTATTTATGTGGTATGCGTAACTTTACGAGATCTTCCTCAAATTCTTATAAAATCGTGTAAAATCTAGCCAAGATCTGCGGAATTTTGTACAGCGACGAGTTTATGCTAGTTTTATGGTTGTTCATTCAAACAACTGGATTCATTCGTTGCAAGGGGAGATGGTCGCAATTTCTGATTTGGAACTTCAATTTAGTCTGCGATCTTGAATTCCTTATACAAAATACAAGCCACTATGCATTTGCTTTTGTTTCTAGTTTTGACTTTAAGCTATTGATGCATTATTCAAGTGATCTTTCCCTTGCTACAATGGCGAGTATCTTGCTCTGTTTGAATCTTCAAAATCTTCAATAAGATGATAATCTTTTGATTTTCAATCTACTGTTTGGTGACGTCAATCAGTCTTGAAATAAAATGTGTCTTTATCTTATTTATTTCATCTAATTCTTAACCATCTCTTTTTGCTATTCATATCAATTACAAATAAATTTCTATCAAACACATTTGCAGAACGAAAATTTAAGGATTCCTTTCATTCTATTTGATCTGGCTGAATTTTTTATTTGCATTTGCATTTTATTTGATAACTATATGCATTTTATTTGATAACTGTATCAGTCCCGTGGGATAAGAGGAGACCTCACTTTTTCTTATTGAAATTCTGACCAGATATGTCACTGAAGGTACAGACAGCAATGGAGAATATGCTGAAGATGATTAAGTGAGTAGATAATTAGTATAACTTTTGTCCTTTGAGTTGGAAGATAGCATAGCTTTGGATTCACCTTGCAAATATAACAATTTTTCTTCATCTTTCTTGTTTCTATTTTTCTTGTTCTTTCTTATGAAATTCCTTTTGCACTATCTGACATCTGTACCTTAGACGACTGTTGTTAGGACTTCTTTGGATTTCTTTGACATGCTGATCTAGTAGTGATGATGGTGGATCTGATCTCTTCCCTTTTTTGCCACAAATTTATAAATATTTCTGTTACCTGTCTACTGATTGCATAGCAAATTCGTACCAGGTTGAGTTTGTTCATGATTCTTTACTCTTTTTTCAGATCTAGAACTCCTTCACTCCTTTTTCTCCCACCCTTCTCTGGTTAGATTTTGGAGACAGTAATAAAGGATTTACTTACTAATGAAATCTAATGTGGTATGATGCTTGCTTATGTTTCATCACATGTGCTGATGGTTACTTGGCAAACTCTCCAGTGAAATTGATCAGAACTCTGTTGGAATAACGGAAGAGATAGAGAAATGCAAAGACTCCACTCTTGAGAGGAAGAAAGTCTTGGAGGATGAGAAGGAACGATTCCAGAAAGCTGCCTACACTGTTTTGGAGATGCTCAATAACAGAGACTAAAAACTGTAAGCTCAATTCTTTTTGTCCTTGTCATTGTGTGAAACTGTACAACATACTATATCTTTAGAATACATCATAGTTACTCTGCTGTTGCTCGATAAGATTGAAAACTAGGAAAACTGTACTATAAACATTTACGCTCAAGATCCGACCCAGTCTCTTATACATAGGCAGATGCAGTGGGGTGGCGACTGTTCTTTCTGCAATATGATATGTACATCACATGAGTAAACAAATAGTTAGGTTAGTTGCAAACTGGTCTAAATGAGTTTACCATTCAAATGATGAACAAATGGTCATTCTCTCTTAATGCATTCAGTTCTTCAACTTGTGAGCCATCAGCCATAAGTATGGTGCTTCCTTGTTTTCCAAACTTTTTCTCTGCATTCACCAAATAAAGAAGAAAAATTAATATTACACTATTCAATTATTCTCTCTTTTTCACACATTGAGTGTATATTAATGCAATTGCAACCAGGGAATTTTCCCTTTAAAGTGAGTTCCAAATGGTATAGTTTCTTTTGGCGAAGTGTATTAATAAGATTGGAATGATGGTTATTACCACGACAAAGGTAATTGATTCTGTGGTGGGACGAACTGTTTAGAATATCTCTTTTTCTGTCCAGGTTTGGAGTATCTGATTCTATGGAATTAAATAGCATCACTTTTGAGGTCTTAGGATCAAATCCTCGAACATGGAGTCAATTGCTAGTGCTTAAGAGTAAGTTTTGTTTGAGTTAGATATAAAACATTGCCTCAACACCAATTATGGAATTTAGAACGGTTCTGTTTTAGTACCTGCTAGTCTGAAGAGATCTTCAACTGAATCTGGTAGGTATATGAGCTTTCCCATTTTGTCAGCTGCACTTTCATTTGGATGATGCTCGTGGATAATCACCCGAGTCCGGAATGTCCTTGGTAATGAACTAAAAGTTTCCTGTGTTCCTGCAAGACGATGGGATGAATACATGATGATGAAATTTCTGGATTATGAAAAATCCTATGATTCTGCATCTCTGTTTATTTTGCCAAAATTTAGGATGTTGGCATACTTTTAGAATGCAACATGTTTGAGCGCCCCAGCAGACTAAATGAAGAAATATGAAGTCTCATTAAAAAAAAAAAAAAAGAGGAAGAAGAAGAAATATGAAGTGTCAGCACCACCTAAAGAAAATTATTTCAGGATATTCCTCATTAGTTTCACTTATGCATGAAGGCTGTATCGTATTCTTAGATGAAACAAGGAACACTTAATTTCTATCCTAGCCAGGAGATTTTTTTTTGGCCACATCCTAGTCAGGAGATGGATTCTTCCTTCTCTACTCCTTGAAAGATGTCTGAATGGCATGTGATTAAGGATGCAGAGATACAAAATCAGATGTGAATCAACAGAACGTAGTAAATCCAATTAATATTTTACTTAGAAATCATCTGTATGGTAATGTGTCCTGCTATGGGCTTTGTTATGAACCATGTGGCCTCATGTATGGTGGTGGTGTTACATGTCATTATATCCCAGATTTTTGCTTTTAGGTAGAAATCTCCTAGTTTATGGTCCTAGGAAGCTTTAAGTTTACCTTCTGCATTTGCATCTCCGGAAAAATCTGATGCACCATTGTTATGTTCCTCATTTTGAACCGTACGCTGCAAAGAACACTTAAGGGGCACTGTTAAATTAAGGTTTTGTTCTTTTCAATAAGAATTAGAGTGATTTAGATTTCTTTATTTCATGGAGATATGAAGCTTGTTTGCTGTAGAAACAACAAAAAATAGGGAAGTTAAAACATTTTTAGTGATAGTGTCGATTGTGTTGATAGGATTTTTATGGTGTTCAAGTTTTTGATCTCATGAAACAGCTCAAAGAATAAATAGGTCTGTCTGGTTTATAGATTCAACCTTAAAACATTCAGTTAACAAACTAAACCTCTAGTTTGTGCTTGAATATCAAAGGTCTTATAATAATCCTTGATTATTAGAAAGCTAACTCTTTTTTTTTTTTCATTATTATTATTATTCCTTGCAGAAGAGGTAAATAACATTTAGATAGTTCTGCTAAATACTATTTGGGTTTGTAAGACATACCTCTATACTTGGATCACCCAGCATTTCTTGGAGGAATGGTATTTCTTGTAGCACATCTTGTTTTAAGCCCTTCAAGTACTGAGAATGCAAGAGTCAGCATAAAGCACATCTGCACTTTGGGTGAGTTGCAAACAACATTTCCTAGGAATTGTGGTATTTCTATTGTATCCTTTTCTACGGAGTTCAGATGGTTTCTTTGCTCGTCAAATTCATAGCATCCTACATTTTCCAGTAATTTGGTTGGAACTTTACAGGTTTCATGTGAAATAATTTTTTTTAGAATATTTTCATGAATATTTTTTTTTATTAATTCCCTTTTCTTTTCCTTCAGAAATAATTGAACAATTAGGATTGCAAATAATGTGATGTATTAAATAAAACTGTCATACCTGAATGAAGTTAGAAATAATTTTCTTCCCATCTTCGCTGTGTGGCTGCACCATTTGTTTGAAATGATGATGACTAATTCTGATGACCTGGGAAAGCCTCTTTGTTCGCACGGTAAAAGGTTGTGGGATGTTGAAAATGACCCCAATTTCCCCTGCCAGATCGGCAGATCCTAGTTTTGACAAAGACTTCAAGGGGAAATACTAGTTTAGTTCTAGGAATAAATTGGAAAAAGATTGTAACATGTTTTAATTCCTTATTATAGGTATCCACCCTGCCACATTAAGGGCGGATCCTAGGCTCCTAGCAGGGATGGGGGCATTATGTCATCCCTGAGATTTTTATTTGCGATAATGCTTACATTGCATTACCTTTCCCCTAGCTCTTTTCTTGAATTCAATAGTTTTTTCCCTATATCTTTTCTTCCTTGAATTCTATTTAAGAAACATTGCAACTTTGGAATGCAACATATAGATATTCTATCAGACATTAATTAGACATTCGTAAAGAATGACTAACCTGCTCCACTCCGTTCGTGTTTGTCACCACATCCTGCAATTGTAGAAAGAAATTAGCTTTCCCCATCTGAGATTAAGTAGGTTAACTAGCGTTTGAAAGATGTCATACCACTGCTCCGGATACCAAGATGTAGAAATCTGTAGGTATCTCATTTTGTAAAAGTATTTCAACTTTTGGTGGGAAATACTCTGCTTTCATCTCTGACACCTGTAATAAGGAAAATGCTATGATGTATTTGCTGAAAAGTAGCAATAATACAATGTATGGAGTTCAATCTAAACACTCTCCTTTGTTTATTTTATTTTTATCAGCAACAATGTGTTTTGGTCGATAAAGTGTACTACGTCCAATTTATCACTAATTGCAATTTTTAAGACCTGTTTTTTAATGTAAATATAAAAATTAAGTGCTCTACTAAGGAATCATCTTTAAGAATAGAACATATATGATCAAGATCAAGAGTGAAGGAAATATTTTACCAGCTGAACAATAAGGTCTTCGGAGACTCCTCTGAATAGATAGGCCTTTTCAACAGTCTCATGGAAAAGGTGCTGCGCAATGCTGGATCTTATTGCCTTAGGCAGGTCCTGCAATACTTCCTCTTGTTGCAACTCTGCAGTCTTGAACTTGAGTTGCATATGTGCCAGCATTTGCTCGCTCAATCCTTGCGGGAGTCTATTCTTGCTAGCATATCGCAATAACTCATTGATGGCATCCCTCTGCAATGGCACGTTCCAATCAAAATTAACTTAAAACCTTGAATATTTGCTTCGATAGGTTATGTTGGAAGTGCCTATTTGGCCAAATTTCTTAAATAGTGTTTATAAGTTAAATCGGACAGAATTTTTTTAAAACTCAATTAGAAGTGCTTCAGACTTATTAAAGACTATCTGGTTTTATTATAGACTATCTATAAGTTAACCAGACGTCTAGAAAAGCCATAAGCCTAAACTCCACATTTGTTATTTTAAAAGAGAGCTTTTACATGTAGATTATTTGGTAGAATAAAATAAATTCTATAATTCTTCAAAATTACACTAGCATTCTTCATATTTCACAATATAGCACAAAACCTCTAATTAAGCAGCCAAATATATATGGACTCTAAAATGCATATATGAAAGTTGGTAAGTTTTAGATTTGATCTCTTAAGCCAGTTTGATAATAAGGATATAGAAGAGAAATTACCATGGCAAAGGTTCTGACTGCCGCATGGACGATGAGATTTGTCATGTTACCGATTATATAAGCGGTGAGACCAATGTTGAATAGCATGTAGAAAACTTCGAAAATCTTCTCTTGCATATTGACTGCGTGCAGATCTCCATAGCCAACGGTGGTGAGTGTAACAATTGCCCAGTAGATGGAATAGGTGTAACCCAGCCAAATGCTTCTGTTCTTGAAATCTTGTACCAAAGATCCGATCCACGTCTCTTTGGATACTTTATGGTTGTAAGCCAGCCAATAGTAAATGCAACCTGATGAGTGCACCGCGAGTAGTGTAACCTGCGGTGGTTCATAAGAAGAAATCAACAATTAATTGGATGCTGGAATAAGGTTCTTCCTTCTCTTTCCTCTTTCTTAGTTTTTTGTTTTTTGATAAATTTAAATCTGTATTTTACTTAATAAATTTACTTACACAAATTAATTTCAAAAGTCTTGTCCAGAAGTAGCTGAAGTTTATATCCTTCTCTAACCTGAAAAAATAACAAGTAGTTTACCACTCTTTTTCATGTCAATTAAAGACAAATCATCTTTATCAATAATAATAATAATAATAATAAAGACAAATCATCTATTTTACCACTCGAAAAATCTTTTTAAGAATTAAAATTTGACACTAAAAACTCTATTTTAATTAATATTAATTTTAAAAAATACGTACAATTTGAATCTTAGTTTTCCAAGCATCCAAAATGTCCCTCGACCTTAAATTTTATAAAGAGAACTCAAGATCATGAAAGCTACTGCGGTGAAATTGGATTGGAGATCTACCTTTTGAAGAGGTCGCTAACGCGCCAGAGACGCCAGAGGCGAAGCAAGTTGAGGAAGGCAAAGGCCTCACTAGCCGGCCTTTTCCCTCTGGAATTGTTGAACATTAACTGGAATGGCAGAGTTGAGGCTACATCCATAAAAAACCATAACCTCGTCACATACCTGCCAGAGAAAAGTAAACCGAAATTCAGTGTATTAATTTTAGTCTAGATCAATTCGTTTTCAGAGATCAATTGATCCCGTGGGGATGTCTCCAAATGTTTTACTGAGAACATGCCAGCTTATTCGTACTTCCAAATGTCCGCTCTACTAGTCATGTTATATTCCTATTATTATTATCACTCTTCATGAACCAAGTAGGCAGTGGCGGAGCTCCTGAAATTTGAAAATCTTGTAAATTAGTATATAAACAATTATCTAACCTCTCCTAAACTTTGAAAATTTTAATATTTTGCCCCGAAAAAAATTTCTGCCTCCACCCCTGCAAGTAGGCACAACCATTAAGGACACTCGGTAAAGGTATTTTCCAACTTTGGACTTTTTGTTGACTTACTCTGGATTAGGAATAAACTATTATTGACTTAAGTATCAATGTGTTTATTTTGAGATTCTCTCTTTGGGCTTTGTAGTTCATTAGCTTATCTATTTTGTGCAATAAAAAATACACGATATTTTCCTTTTGATCCTAAGTTTTAAGAGTTTGTTTTTGTTTTTGTTTTTGTTTTTTCTCTAGCATACTGCAAAAGGGAAACTATTGGATTTATAACTCGATTAATATAGTGGTTTAGAATAATAGTTATTGATTTTCTCAAAATCATTAAAAATAGGTGTTTGTAAAATTTGTATATTTCTAAAAGAAAATGATACACTTACCCCTCAAACCAATGCTCCACCTTACACATTTGTAGTTCAAAAGTTAAAATACAATATTTTTTCTTTAAAAGCTTATTCCTCGCTTATTCATAGCAAACTTATTGAATGCAATTTCTGTTATTAAAATTTCTTTAGATTCCATCGATTTTCCTTGTTTCCCCTCTTTCTCTCTCTTTCTCCGTCACCATTTCTTTGCCCATCTCCTCCCACATCTCCTCTTGTGAGTTCTCCACAGTGTAGATTAGAGCAGCCCTCCTCTTCACACAGCATTGGTTCTTTGATTTTCAACCTTCATCCTTTTTTTCCCTCCTCCTCCTTTCTTTTTCTTCTTCTTTCCCTCTCCTCCACTCTTCTTCCTTCTCTTTGCCCCTCCTTGACATG